AGCAGTTGGTGCTTTGTAAACATCAATGTTAATGTACAGTTTGTGTTTATACTTAATATAAACTGCCCGACCAGTTAGTATGTAGCTGAGTCTCCAGCCCTAGCTAGCCCGTTAACCATAACGCGGGGCACGGAGCCCATGCACGTGTAGGAAGAACAAAGCGTCGCTAAGGAGCCGCTGCCGACCACCCATAACGTAGAGGGCAGACGCTCGTGCACGTGTAGGGAGAAGCCAGAGATAGGGCCATCTCTAGAGGCGTCCGAGCGTCAACGTGTCTGGTCGAGGATTTGCATTAAGTATAGATGTATGTTATATTTAAGATGGTATACATGGACAAATGTTATTTGAAGAATAATCATGACAAGGACGTTGTGGAGAAATGTCGTAATGAAAATTATATTAAATATAAATATTAGAAGTGTACTTATCTTTGGATAGAAATCTGGTCGATGGCGATGAAGTTGTCCGGTCCTCGAGCTTTCTGACTTGTCATCACGACGATGGTCGCGGTTGTCGTAGCGCCGTTCTTCGCGGCGATCATCATTTGCGACGTGGTCTGGTGGTCTGGTGGTCGGAGCTCGAGACGTGGTTGTCGTGGTCTATTGTCAACGTGGTCCGCTCAGCAGCCTGACGTGGCTCAACGTGGCTCTGTAGACGGCTCATGTGGCTCGCTCAACGGCTCGCTTGGTTCGACGTGACTCGCTTGATGGCTCGGCGTTGCTCGTCGATGGCTCGCTTGATGGCTCGGCGTGGCTCGCCGATGGCTCGCTTGACGACTCAACGCGTGGCTTGCCGATGGCTCGGCGTGGCTGCTTGCTCAACAGTTCGGATGGCTCGAACAACTTGCTTGGATGGTTGTGCATTGTTCGAGGCAAAACCATCGTTCTTCTATGCCAAATTTGGCGTCGTCTTGCCTCTGCCCAGCGAGATCGAAGTACGCTGCCAGTCCTACCGCCATGGAAGATGGTGGTGTAGATCATCACGTCATCGAGAGGATGTCCAACCGATGAGGTACGTGGGCGCTCTTCTGTCGTTAATTGCTTGGTGTACATGCTCCACGTGAGATACATCTTGGATTTGCTCTGGGATCTTGTCGGCTGGTCCACGCATGGCGCCTTTGATTACTCCGAGCTCTGTAGCCATATCTTGCTGGATCCGATCTGCCAAGATAGCTTGCGCAGGAAGCGTGGCTAGTCATGTAGTAGACCATAGTTGTTGTTGCCGAAGGACGCCCGCCGCCGCGCGCTCAAAGCGCTATTGCGAGTTGCGTTTGGCACCGGGGCTTGATCCTCGTAGTCCGCCGAAGAACGTCGCCGGGTTGCGGCTAACATTGTTGGTGAAGAAAATTCCATCTAGTTCACCATGGATCAGCGCGCATGCCCCTAAAGGGGGCCCCTACCTGGCGCGACTCCTCCACATACGTGGCATGCATCGCGACTCAGCATGGAAAGACTAGTGGGGCGGATGGGCAGGTGGCCACGATGACCATCATCAAACCAGTTGGGTCCCCAATGGCCTAGACGCCCACTACAGCCGTGCATTGTCGACGAAATATGGTCGGCAGTCCACCGAGGGGGGTGCCTGTGGTGGTAGATTATCGGTAGGATGCACGTGATCAGGAACCAGATGGTGACACAAGGCGCAGAGACAACGATTTAGACAGGTTCGGGCCGTCTGATCGACGTAATACCCTACGTCATGTGTCTTGGGTGTATTGTATTGATATGTAGTAGATAGATCCTCCCCTCTAGGGGACCCTTGTCTCTCCTTATATACTCCGAAGAGACAAGATTACAAGTAAAGTATCCAATTTGGTATTATTACAATATCTAGTACAACTTGTAATCTTGATGTGCACGCCTTGATCTTACAGGCCGGGCTACCTCGGATGGTGCGGCCCATGTACCATCTTGTGGTACCCGGGGGTATATCCCCCACATGCATGCCCAGCCGGCCAATGACACAGACTCGATGGCCAGCCCAGCAGTCGCCACGCAGACTCTTGGGGGCAAGTCCGATGATGACCGAGGCTGCCCAAATGCTCGCCACGTTCACCAACGCGGTTCAGCTTAAACGGTGATCGCCACTCATTCGCTCACCACCAAAGCAAAAACCGCCAGCCAAGAAGCCGCCCGTGCCTCTACGAAGCCGCTGCATTGCCGCATAGCAGATGGGGCATATCCCAGCATTTAAGAGGGGTGAGGTGCTGCTCCAGAAGAAGATGGGAGTCACACTGCAGTTTGCTCCGCCGTCGGCGTCGCAGCAATCATTTGACTCCTTCGATTCCAACCTCTCTACGAGCCACATTGCTGTGCTTGACGAGTTGTTCCCGGCCGCAGGACGCGGGCTATGAGAACAAGGTAGCCCTTGGCTGCCAGGGCCTAGTGTGGCCTCCAAATGAATCACCAATGGATAACACAACTATCTTGTCATGGAACGTGCATGGTCTCAACGCGAGGGCCCGGCGAGACTGCGTTCGTATTCTAGTCGGTGACATCCGATCGACGATCGTTTGTCTGCAGGAGACAAAGCTGGATGTAATTCCATAGTCCACTGTATTCTCTTTGCTTGGAGTAAGTTTCAGCGAGTTTGCATATTTGCCTGCTTCTGGTACTTGTGGAGGAATTCTTGTCGCTGGGCAGTGTAGCGACGTAGCTTTCACAGAGGTCCTAATTGGCTGCTTCTCAGTTACCATCGCTGTGAAGCCTCTCTCAGCAACAGGCGAAGCATAGGACAATTGGTGGCTCACCGCAGTATATGGACTACCGGAGGACGGGGACAAACTGATCTTCCTCGAGGAGCTTGAAGCCATACGTGATGCTTCTCCAAGGCCATGGGCTATCACTAGGAACTTCAATCTAATTCTGAATGAAGCGGACAAGAGCAATGACAGAATTGATAGAGCCAACTCGTGCCGCTTCAGGTGAACTATTGCCGCTCTAGAACTCCAAGACCTTCATCTCCACGGTCGGTGCTTCACCTGGAGTAATGAGAGGGACGTCCCAACGCTAGTGCGCCTTGACAGGGTACTGATGTCCATCGACTAGGACGAGAGATTCCCAAACTCTCACCTTCACGCTCTGGGAACTGATGCTTCGGATCACTGTGCCTTGCTGCTACAAACCAACATGGGTCAGATGTCCAAGGCGAGATTCCACTTCGAGCTATTTTGGCCCAAGTTCGATGACTATGCGAAAGTCGTGGCCAATGCCTGGCAGCGGCAAATCAGGCCCCACGACCCCTTGTCTGGCATGGACGGAATGCTCAGGGCGCTGGTGCGTGAGTTACAGCGCTGGTCCGCACACAAGATAGGGGGAATCAAAGAACGGTTGCTGATGGCCCGGGAGCTTGTGCTACGTCTTGACAGAGCACTAGAACGTAGGCAGCTTTCGGAGGAAGAGCTCGGGCTACGAAAGCGAATGAAGATGCGCTGCCTGGGGTTATCCTCTCTAGAATGTACCATGGCGCGACAGAGATCACGAGTCCGACAACTCAGGGAGGGGGATGCCAACACGGCTTACTTCCACCTCATTGCTCGGGGCCGGAAGAGAAGAAGCTTCATATCCGGCACTGACGGTGCATGGCCACATGATCGCCGATCAGGATGGCATGCAGCAAGCTCTGCACGGCCACTTCACCGCTGTTTTTGGGATTGCAGCCTCGGGGGATGACGCTGAACTTTTAGGCCCTAGGGATTCAGCCTCTCGACCTCAGTGGCCAAGAAGCAGCAATCACTAACGAGGAAGTATGGGCTGCAATCAGAGCCTTGCCAAGCGATCGAGCACCTGAACCGGATGGGTTCACAGGTGCATTCTACAAGTCAAGTTGGAGCACCATCTCTGATGAGGTCATGGCTGCAGTTCACGCATTCACCCAAGGAAACACCCATAGCATGGACAAGCTCAACAATGCTCTAGTGGTCCTGCTGCCCAAGAAGGTGGGCACCAATTGTCCTGCTGAATTTCGGCCCATAATGATGATCCATAGCTTTGTGAAGCTAATCTCCAAGCTGCTAGCACTACGGCTCGCTCCAAGGCTACATGAACTGGTCGCCAGCAATCAAAATCCCTTCATCAGAACAAGATCAATCCATGACAATTACAAATACATACAGAGGGCGATGGCACTTATTAGAAAGAAGAAGGTGCCCATGCTACTACTGAAATTGGATATTTCAAAAGCCTTTGACACTTTGTCTTGGCCCTTCCTACTAGACACATTACACGCTTGGGGTTTTGGCCAAACTTGGCGCAGGTGGATCGAAACGCTGCTGAGTACTGCAACCTCCAGAATCATACTCAATGGCCACCAATCAGGCATCTCAGAGGTGTGCGCCAGGGTGACTCTTTGTCCCCAATGCTCTTCATCATAGCTATGGACGTGCTACACCGGCTGTTCCAAAAAGCGGCCACTAATGGGGTAATGAGGAAGATGGAGCCGCCTGAAATCAAGTTTTAGTGCAGCCTATATGCCGATGATGTCATTCTATTCATCCGTCCACACGTCCAGGAAGCAAGGGTTGTTAATCAAATCTTGCACATCTTCGATGAAGCCTCAGGCCTAAAAACTAACTTGGCAAAGTGCTCCATCACGCCGATCTATGGCGGGGAAGACTCACTGAAGGAAATTGTGTCCATTCTAGGCTGCCAAGTGCAGCAGTTCCCCATCAGGTATCTCGGCCTCCCACTGAGCACAAAGCAAATACCGAAGTCCCACTTCCAATCAGTCGTCGAGGGCGTGGCGAGGAAGATGCCACCATGTCACGGCAACCTGATGGCCAGAAGCGGAAGGATAATGTGGATTAAATCGGTGCTGCGTGCGGTACTGATCTATGCGATGATGGCGGAGAATCTGCCGCCATGGGCGACGAAGGAGATTGACACCATATGCAGGAGATTTTTCTAGGCGGGAACGGATGCCTCGGTCCAAGGGAAATGCACGTGGCTTGGCCGACCGTCTGTAGGCCGACGGAGTTGGGGGGGGTGCTAAGCATCAGTGACTTAAAGCTCGCCGGTTTTGCATTGCAAGCACGGTGACTGTGGCTCCAGAAGACTGATCATGATAGGGCGTGGAGTCAGCTGCCGATCAAGACATCGCCTGAAGTCCTGGCGTTCTTCAAGGCCTCCACTTACACGTTGATTGGTGATGGGCGTCAGGCACTGTTCTGGGAACATAAGTGGATACACGGTGAATCCGTCCTAGACATTGCTCCATGCTTATGTCAGTTCGTGCCTCCGAGAACGCACAGAAGACAGATCATGCAGCAGGGTCTGCTCAATAGGTCCTGGGTGTGGTCGATCTCTGGAGGAGTATCAATGCAAGCTATCCATGAGTACCTGGCACTATGGGATACGTTGCAAGACATACAGCTCAATGATCAACCAGGCCAAACCGTTTGGTGTTGGGCCAACGATGAAACTTACTCATGCAGCATCCACTCCGTTCTTGGGTCACAAACTCATTTGGAAAACCTAGGCTCCACTGCGGATCAAGATCTTTCTTTGGCTGGCCTTCAGACGACTTCACTGGACCGGAGACAGGAGAGCTAGGCACGGGCTAGAAGCAAGGGAGATGTGCTACCTCTGCGATCAAGGGCGTGAAACCATTGATCATATCGTGGCCGAGTGCCCCTTCACCAGAGAGGTCTGGTTCCACATTCTCCAAGCCTTGCAGCGCCCACTACCACAACCAGCCGCAGCTACAACACTGCGATGGTGGCGACGGCTGCGAGCGGCATACAATGGTGGTCGGCGCCGAGGCATTGACTCCCTGTTTGCGCTAGTCTGCTGGACCATCTGGAAGGAACGAAACGCCAGGTGCTTCAGGGAGGCATCCTCATCGGTGAACGAGGTGCTGTAGCTAGTCAAGGCCGAGGCCGATCGGTGGATTGAGGCCGGCGCACGGGGGCTTGAAACGTTGGCTCGCCTGTAGCTGGGATGGTCACCCTTGAATGTTGTTGGTTTCATAATGTAGCGCTTGCAAAACACTAACGCGGCCGTGGAACGGCACTTGTATTGCTCAAACTCTTTCTACCTAATACAATGATAAGCATCATTTGTGCGTATTCGAGAAAAAAAAGGACATAATTTTTTAGGATACCAAGCCAAATTAAGTAAAACATCTAGGTTACCAGCAGGGACATTAGCCGTATCATTGCCATCTCTGAACAACCTTGTGTGATGGTTCTTCTGCGCAACAATCACTGTGAACTTGGGGAGACAGGTATTATCATTCTTATTCTTTTTAATAAACTTGCATGCCTACATCAGAGGAAAAATATTTATGTATTAACAAACAGATGAAGTCGACGTTGCAGATGAACAAATCACGGGAGGGCATGTTTCTACCTCAATGATCTGAGCCAGCTCAATATTCAGAACCTGATTAAACTGGCCCTCACTAACTCCATCCCTGAAATAAAACGATAATAGATTCCTTCCACAAATAAAATCACGAAACAGCATGACACTGTCTTCATTTCCGTTACTGGATGGAAGATGCACTTCTACTGCTAAGATTGCACAATTGAATATCGCTTTCAGATGGGTTACGAACCTGAAAATGATGATTTGTTCTGGTTTTCGCTTACCAGAGCTAAGGTAGAAATCAAATAATAACTCACTGAAGCAAGTGCAAGTCCCAAGGAGCAACTCATTAGGAAATATTATAGTCATGGTAGACATACCCAAAATAACTTTTTTTTTAACAAAATCACCTTATGAGGCCACGGTCTTCTTTTCCCTGAGGCTTGAACAGGGAATCAATCATCTCCACCCTGGGTGATTGAGTGCACACGGAAGCTCTGTATCTGGAGATGCAAGGCCAACCCAAGGAACTAACAACCTTATCGGCACAGAAGTACAAGGTTCCACGTCAATAAATGATTGGTTATAAGATGACAGTGGGTTTCATACTGTGCTGCATCTACAAAACAGAAACAGTGCAAAAAAAAAAGGCATAAATCCATTACATACCGCAGCAATGGATGGTACATTCGACCGTGGTGCACCATGTGAAACATCCATACCAAAGATAATGGTTGGAACCCTCGACACTAGGAATGGCTTGGTTTCTTTCAATTTCCAAAAATGAATTCAACCCACCAAGCTGATGGGAAAAAAAATAAGACAGCAACAAAATACATTCAAATTGGCAGTTAACAAAAACGCAAAAGACGATGAATGAGGTTTTTATAAATGGGAATGCTCCGCAAACCTTGGCATTTATCTTCAGCAGCACATTTGTGAGGTACCGATAATCGAGTTTTTTAGGCGCCAAACATTGCGTCACAATACCAAATTCCACAAGGCATTTTTGCTTCCATGGCCCTGGTAAGATTCACAACAGTTTGGGTTTACATAGGGCATAATAATCTTATCCTGCAAGGGAGACATTGACAAGCTAGTACACACAAATATAAGAAAGCTAGTATAACAACCATAAATGTCACTGTTCTTATCTGGAAGAACACACAACAGGAAAGTTGGGGGTTCACAAAGCTTCTTTCAATCTTCTTTCCAATCTGCTCTAACATATCATCAACTCTACTAGCCGCAGATGCATTCCTTTGAAGCCTCTCCTCAAATATAGATTGAGGAGGTGAAATTATCTGCAAATCAACCTGGATGAATACGGAGAATTTAAGAGTAGTACAATATCAGGTAGAAACATAGACCTACAATGCCCTTGTTGCCACCACAGTTAATGAGCCTCCGAACAAGATCCTGAAGATCCCGAAGATTCCACTTTGTCGTAAAATTAACAACAGCCCATGTGTCCACTCCCTTGGCCTCAATGGGCTTCTGAATGGCACAATATAGGCATTGTTGTTAGCACAACAGCAAACAAGATTAATGCGCTATTGTAAGGACTACAATCAGAAGAGACCCTTACCCTGTTCATGAAGTTCCACCTCCCATCACGTGCAATAAGATCTTGACCATCCCCAGCTTTTAGCTACACATGACAACCATAACCAGGTGTGCAACATTTGCAACATCATCAGCACACCTAAGAGCCTGGAAAAAAGAAAGGGGAACTAGGAAAGTTCTGGCCAACCTTTGGTGCCTGAAGGACTCTACCATCAAGAGCAAACTCTGAAGCTATTGAAATGCCATACTTCTTCAGCATATCATCCGAACTATAGTTACTGCGTTGCAGTGCCTGGTAATGATGGTAGAAGTCGAAATGTTAATCAAACTAGGCTATGGCAGTGAGCTATTTAATTAAATGTCCATGGATGAACTTACACCAGACAAATCTGACTTCCTTTCTCTAGGGTTCTTCCGTGAACTTTGGACCAGCGAGGACCGCTGTAGTGCAGTCAGAGCTTTTGTGTACCTTTGCAGTGACACTAGATGGCAAAGCTGATAATTGTAGACAGATTCTAGTGTTACGCGCAAACAAAACAAGAACGACTTACCTGGACTGCAATGGCACAATTTTTTTAATGAAACAAAATTGACAGACCTCTATCGGCAGATATGTGGGACGCTTGGGCTTCCCAACATCCAAGCAGGGAAAATTAGCAGAATCCTGCAGTCTTATTTCCCAATGCTTCAAGTAGTAATCATAGACCGTTATTTCCACGAAATCGGATCCATTGCCGTTTCTTTGCTTCAATGGCAACCTGAATCAAGAATTAGATGTTAAACAACCTCCAGCTGGCCTTGCTGAATAACATCAAATCCAAGAATTTAATTATCTCACTTCTGTTCATAGCAAGACTTCTCACTCAGGCTGGAAATCTTGAATTCAGAGTTCGTGTGAGTGGTTTTGATCCTCAAATTCCTCAATGCACGCTTTGCCTAAAAACAAGTCAATGATGAACTGAGCATTGGAGTGATCTGGTCGACTAGTCAATCTTGGGCTACCACATTATTGGGGGGAAAACATGAGCTGCATCAAGGCCATGACTTACTTTGCCCCAGTCAATTCTGCAAGGGTCCTTGATATACTGGTTGGACAGTATAAAATTAATGACAGGCCCAGGTTCCACAATCATAGTCGTAGACACATCTGTACCAGTTGAAAAAAGTTGTATGTAATGTACTATCACTTTGTCGTAGACTGTTTAGCAATGATCTGATTACAAGTAATACCATTCAGCCTGTGGAAAACATACCGATGTTGAGTGAAAGTCCAGATTGAGTGGGTCGAAAGCTGGAATGATATCCTGGACATCGCACAACACCACCACCCAAACCTATTCGCTTGAGCTACTTTTCAGCCATGGAACAGTGTTTTCCTCTCACAACATTTCAGCATAAGTATCAGCATAAGCTAAATTTCAGCATAAGCATCAGCATAAGCCAAATTTTAGCAAGGAGTTCATATATAACAAAAATATTTAGCTCTTGCTATTGGTAGAAACAAAAAGACTGTGACATTTAACAAACCTTTGCATCAGTTGTTAACAAAATCGTACTTACCAAAAAGGTATCACTTACTGTTTTGCTGACTTTTGCCTAAGTATGATTTCAAGAACCTGAAGGGCTTCCTGACAATCATCAGATTCTTGACCTCTCATGACTTTGTCAATGGCACTCAATGGAATTTTTCCCACTGATTTCAATTCCACTTTGTACGTCTTACAAGGCATGGGCCGCTTCATTCTTTTCGTGTCACTTCCTTCTGGACTTCCATTTCCTCCAGGGATCCTACTCCTAGTGGTCCTGAAACCAAGATAAGTTGCGCAACCAATGACAGATTAACTCAAGATCATAAACAACATGAGAAAAGGTTAGTTAAGGTGGAAGGATTACTTTGCAGATGAACCATCCTCCACTACTACTATGAACTCATCCTTGACATTCTGAAGGGCACACATTGTGAATAGGTTCTTTTCACCGTCATAAGCAAAGTTCACATTTGCCAGATAGATGTCCTGCAACTTGTCGATCACTGTTCTACCTACCCCTTTCGATTGAACTGGTTTATCATCTTCATACTTCAGATTAACCTGAAAGTGGAACGATGTGTGAAATTAAGAGGGGATTTAGGGTCCAAAAAGATCAGAAGGTAGGATTATCAGAACCACACGCACATTGTAATGGTAGAAGATGACATCAGTACTGTGAACTGAGACTTTGAAGTGGTTTGTATGAAGCCGTATTTGGTTCCCTTTTGTGCCAGACCCATGAGGCCTCGAGATTGTGAGTCTCTGAAGAATTGGCGACTTGTTCAGGCCATCCTTGCTAGAGCTGGACTCCATCCTAGGCCAGATTTTCTGCAGTGAAAACACAGAAAAGTGTTCTAGTTATAGAAGTAACTGCCACTCATCTATCTCAAGGGACAGCTTCTGCATTGAACCAATTCCATCTAATTTTTTTTCCACACATTAGACTGAATGAGAAACTTGATTAGTGCTTCCAAATATGGGAAACCTTATTAGCAGTATGCAATTTTTTACTAATACAAATAAAATATAACAAGATCTTTAAAAAAACAGGATGGAGGAACAACACATTTCCAATCATTTCTGTTGTTATGAACTACCCTGAGGTATCGAGCAGCGAGAAGAAATACAATGGGTCTCTAGAAAACAATATGCATAATGAAATATTTAAATGTGTGTTTACGCTTTGACTAAGATCACAAACACTTGAAATAGAAATAGTTGTAACAAAGCCTAACAAGGCTAGGGGCCTGCTTGTTGACTTCCAAAATTTGTCATGCCAAAGATTTGGCAAGACAAAAGTTGGGCAAAAAAATTACCATAGATTTGCAAAACTAAATGTGAGAGTTTGGCAAGTTTTGGTAGCAAACCAAATGCTAGCCAAAATCATAGCTTGCCAAATCTTTGGCATGACAAATTTTAGAAGCGAACCAATCAGACCTAGGTTTCCCTTTTCAGAAGCAATTCAGTCTAGGATAGTAAAGCCCTTTATGCACCCCAAAAGCTAAACTTGGGATAGGTTGAGTTTCTTGTCCAACTCCATAAAGATAAGTCCGGCAGATCTGTTGGAAGTGGATAGTTAATTAACTTTTGAAAGCAGAGGATAGCATAGAAATGCTCGCAAAAAAAAAAAAAAAGAACCAACTATAACCAAAGCACACCATCAGACAGGCTATTTTTTCGGAAGTCAAAACTCAAGGTACTACTTTTTCAGATTCCCACACACCGATTTACATTCAAAACCAATAGAGTTTTCAAGTTCTACGTGGACTTGCAAAATCCGGGAGCAGAGAGAACTTGCAGACACCCACCATTTTTCCAGTACAGGTTTCTCATTTGGGTAAAGATATTACTAACAACGTTTGTTACTCTTGGGAACAAACTACAAAAACCCAAGATCACCACAAATTTAAGCCAAGATGCCACACAGGATATGAAAAGACACGATCCCAAAATCACCAACAACTCACGGAATGATGTTTATCCAACAATAGAACGCAACATGTGTGTCATAAGATGCAAGCATCAGGCCTGCTCCAACAAGAAAAGAGATAAGCAACCCGAACCTACATCCAATCCAAGATCGTCTTTGCCGGGAGAAATCAGACCCGCGCAGCAGGAGGTAGTAACGCAAGGCGTAGTCTCCTACTCCTACGCGTGAGAGAAACGAAGAAGAACAAGAGCAGGAAGCGCGATGTACCGAGACCAATGGAGCTCGAGGACAGCCGTGGAAGGCCAGAAAGCCCTCCTCTTGCTCCTCCTCCACTTGTCTTCGGGGGCGATTTGCAAAAATGAAACTCGAAACATCGATCGTATGTACATTTGATACTAGACCCATATTCATAGACACAGATGGATCTACTTGTTATCCATCCGAGTGTCATCATAATCAAGTAGTTAATCTTTCATAGTGTCACTTTTGCAATTTTTTCGTTTTCGGGAGGCTGCAAAACCGCTCCTCTTATTGGCCAGGCTAAAAGCCAGAAAACCCTCCTCTCTCTTATATAGATAGAAGTTGCCTTCTGGTTTCTTGCATTTGTGTTGTGTCGTTTCAGTTTGTCTAGTCTCACTGACATGTAGACCCGGGATACCACCCACCTGGCCAACTCAAAATACTCAACTACGTGAAAATGAAGAGGTGTACTTGTATTATTACTACCACCAGGCACCAGTCATCACCAAATTAATCTACGGAAAATCTATATGTCACTCGAGCGATTCCCGTCGTCGCGTCACTCGATTTTTTAAGCCGTCCGATGTGTGCGCGCTTGATCTGGTAAGTGCGTCTGTCTGTTCTTTTCTTGTTTCGCTGACGTGTGGGGCCTGTGTAACACCTCTGGTGTTTTGACCTAGCACTAAAATTTGACATGTCATCATATGCATTGCAAAGCATTCATAGAGTATAAAATTTTAAATGCATTCACTAAATAAGATTTATTTCATAATGTTGTTATTTCATGTGATGTGTTTCAAAACCCTAAATAAAATCATGACCACAAGGGTCAAATTTCATGTGATCATGTGAGACCATGTGTCATTTGACTCAAATAACCCTAATGGGCCATGTTACTGGTCAAAAATCAAAGTTAAAGTAAAAGAAAGACAAATCAAATTTGAATTCAAGTTTAAATTATAAAAGTCCTTTTTGCCCCTTTTGACTAATTCAAAATCCATGTGGAATTTGGGGTTGAGGCAAAAAGAAAAGTTGAAGATTATTTTATGTGGATCAACTTTGGTATTCAAAGTTTTTCAAGTTTACATATAAAATTTGGAGTAATTTTGAAATGATTCAAATACTCAAATGCACCCTAAATTCAAATTTCAAAAGGGAGGCAGAATTTGAAAATATTCATTGAAGCAAAGTTGTAGAGTTTGAAAAGTTGAGCAACTTTCATTTTTGGAGATTTTCAACTTCTTTAGAAAATTTGAGAGTAATTTGCAAAATAAACTCGGTGGCAATTCTGTAATTTCTCGGAACAGTAGCCCGACCACCGCCCCACCGCCGGTGTCCTTTCTCCGGTCTTTCAGGCGCGTCTGCGACCGCCCTTGGCTTCGCGCTGGCACGGGGAGCACTCTGCGTGTCGAGTCCGCGCGCTCCTGGCCGAGCTATAAGACCCAGACGACGCCGTTCACTTTTCTTCCTCCCCTCTGCTTTTTCGACGCCGCCGTCTCAACTTCGGCGAGCTTCTCTCATCTCCTCAGCGCAAGCAAGCCCCGTAAAAGCCGTGTTCTAGTTCCGCCGCTGCTCTCGCGATCCGACCGAGCTATTGCTATCGCTTAAGTTCGCCGAGAGCTCGATATCCACGTTCATCTTCCTCGCGTCGGCGACCAATCTAAACGCCGATTCACCGTGGGCCGGCTTCATCCGGTGAGCCGTTGCCCTTGATTGTTGACTCTATGGCTTCGCCTCGATGCTGTAGTGCTTATTCCACTCTTGCCTGCTCGTTTTTCCCATTGCAGTGCCCGGAACTCCATCGTTGACGAGGTCCGCTCCGCCGTGATCCCGGTCACCGTCGAAACGCGTCACCGAGCTTCTCCGATCCCGCTTGTTGCTTCAACACGATCGGGTGAGCCATCGATGCTTACGGTACTCTCTGTTTCACCGTTATCGCCTTTTTTTTCGCGGCGTAACGCCGCCGTGCCACCGCGTCCGCCATGGCCGGTGTCAGCCTTATTCCATGCCGTAATCAATATGTAATCAATCTCCAAAGTGCCATAGATCGATGCGCCTAGTTCTTGTGGATGTGTTGGAACTTTGGCCGTCACTGTTGGGCTCATCGTCGGTGAGTTTGTGCCGGTCAGCGCCGTCGCAGCCACGGTCAATGCCCGAGGTTGGGGATGACAGGTGGGGGCCGGCTGTCAGTGAGAGCAAGAGAGAGAATAGTGCCTTTTGTTATTTTCTGATTTTGAATAGTGCTGAATCTTTGGAAATTTGTAGAAAAATAATCATAGCTCCAAAAATTCTAAAAAAAATTTGTGTAGCTTCTGTACATGCTCTATTATGGTTTAAAAATTTGACACTTGAAATTTGAATAAATGTTTAATGTTCAAAAATTTAGTCAATTCATTGATAAATACAATTTCCATAATTTTTGTAGGTCACTGTGTAGCTCCAAAAATTATGAAATTTATTTTGGTACACTAATTTGTTATGAGGAAGCTTACATAAAATTTTTAGGTCATTTGGAACAAGTTTATTTTTGGGCTTATTTCGAATTAATTAAAAATTGAATAAAAGCAACCCTAATTGTTAGGGTTAGGGTTTAATTTTTTTTTGTTTGGGTCATGTTGTGTGACCAGTAGGGTTTCAAGATCAGTTTGGTCAAGTCACATGTGTGGTTCTTACCGGTAGAATTGCAAGTTGGTTTTGTTGGCTTGCAACTATACCATGAAGGAAAATCATATTCGGGGTGTTGTTACATTTCATGTACCGTGAAAGCATCATGTTTACATTATCATCATGTTAAAGCATATGTTATCATTTCGTGTAGAACCCGAAAGTGAAATGATTCTAGTTGAGCAAGTCCTGGAAGAATCCCCGGTTGTCACGGGATTTGATAATTGTGGTACTGATCCGGAACGTGAGATCGTTAACGAAGGCAAGCCCCGGTTTATGCATTAAACCATTACCTTGTTTACTTTGAAAAGTTTATCACTTATGTTACTTATTGCATTAAGTTGATTTACTTCAAATGTTGCCTACTTGATGCATTGCCTACCTTGTTAATTGTTTACCTTCCTTGAAGATGTTTTCATTTACAAAGGCGTAGAATGCTTAGAATGCTTATGGTAGGTTTTCAAAGTAAAAGTTTTGATACAATCAAAGATGGCATACTGGCCAAAAAAAGAAAGAAGGTAGAATGAACTAGAGACTAGTCGGGTGACTTATCTTGAATGTTGGGTAATGTTGCCGACTATGTCGCTTAAAGGCCACTCATTGTGGATCTTTTGAACGAGACACTTTGTAGTACTAGTCACATACTCCAGTAAGCCTACTTCAGCTAATCCGATACTAAGACGAATGCCCACGCACTGGGAGTGGTGAGATGGCGGGAGTAGCGTGTACCCTCGTGGCTTGAATGTGGCCGGATTTGAGGCGTGCTGTGCTCTCGGGTGGCATGTAGATGGCTTAGTATGGGAAGATCCGGTAGTGAGGTTGATATATGCAAGATTAAGTTCTACATATGTCGTGTGATAAGGAATCCCCAGTTAGGACTTTAATCAATTCGAATTGCCGGTGCTCCGCGGATATGGAGACTCGATTCATTACAGAAGCAATGTAGGACTGGTGAATTACTAAAACATGAGAAAAAGAA